CATGTTTGGTGGGATGGGGATTTGAACCCGCGACCCTCAGATTGAGAGTCGAGCGCCCTAACTACCTGGCCATATCAGGCTAAAACAAAAGGAAGAAAAGGATGTTTAGGGTGAAAAGGACCCGATAATAACAACATTTGATTAATTTTCTACTAACATTTTTTTGAAACTTACAATAACATGATAAATCAGTAGCACGTCTAATCGAAATCTGTGATTAATCTATAGCTTTGTTGCTGTTGTCTTTAACAAAACACAGGACTACATACGTATTGTGTTGTCAATAATGTGTTTATTTTTAACAATAAAAAACTATAATATATACGAGCATACATATCTAACATATTATTCACAGTATAAATGCAACCACTACACGTTACAAAACAGTCGCACTAATTTTAACAATTAAGTTTTAGGTTGATAACATTACGGGTTCATAAATGTTAAAGGCAGACAAAAGTTGAATAATACGTACATATGTGAATGTTCTTATCGTTCTGAAAAAAGTAAAAAAAAAAAAAGAAGAGATCAACAGTTTCTAACTTGTGAATCAAAGTTTGCCCTGGTTTATTAATAACTTATGATTTCAAAGGGAAATATTTTAATAATAAAATATGACTATAAAAGTTCAAACTACACAAATAATGTTGTACATTAACTGAAATTCCTGTTATATTTTGGATACCAGTAGTTTTCGCACGTACAGTCTACAATACAATATGTTGTTTTTAAATCTGCCTTATGTCTATTGAGAATTTTCTATATGAAAGTGATTACGTTGATCAGGTGACTGAATACAAATGAATTTATATATATATGGCTATTTGTTCAAGGTATTAAGTTGTTCCTTAAATATCCTTCAGTTTTGTTATACATCATGTTACCGTTCAAATGACCTATCAATATATTTGTAAGTACTTTTAAAATCTTAATTCATTGGTTTCCAATCTTTATCTGATGGCGCCCCAACTCAGCATTATTTATTTCGCTCCCCCACCCCTTCATACTGATTTTTTTTTCCAGAAGTGATAATAACAACAAATACAATATTTTTTTGCCTCTCTTCAATCATTTTTGCTTAAGTATTAGCAAGAAAATTTTAAGTGTGAAAAATTTATTTCCAAGAAAAAATATTAAAATCGTGAAACCAATTGCTTACTTTCATTAGTGTGATGTGTGACCTTGCTTTTTAGCACAAAGTTCCTCGAATCGTGGCCGCCCCTCTCCCCCACATGGTGGCGCGCCGCACAGTTTGGAAAACACTGTCTTAATAGATTAGTACAGTCAAACTCTAGTGTTTAGCAAGATTTCTCTGGAAATTTCAGTATTCAGTAGCGATTTACATTTTTGATCGAAAACATTCCATGACAAACTCAACCATTTATTATGAAATTATACAAATACCCAGCTTAATATAAAAACTGTAATACGTCTCTCTTTACAGTGTTAATACATACGAAAATTCTACAATTTAAAAAACAAACATTTTCCTGTAAAGCCAAACTCTCTAAACTTACATTATCACACAACAAACGCCGCACCCTGGCGGTAAAGCTGCTCTTTGTCTGTAAACGTTAGCGTATGGAAACCCTTCTCTTACCCTAGGCCTAATCTTCTGGTCTTTAATTTCCTCTTGTCCGGCCTGTATATATAATGCCTTCTGAAAAATACGCCAAAAACAAAAAACACACAATTAATTATTGTCATCCACAGGCAAACGAAAATTTTAAGAACTGTACTTAACTGATATAAATTAGTTTTACTGGACCTGATACAACTCTGTTGTTTAGAAAGAATTGTGAATGAAAAACAAATAAACGCTTTACAGTTACAATGAAAGTGATCTATAACGAAGCCTGTACTTTTATACAATAAATACACAATTGTATAAAACACTACACCAAGCAGTGATAACAAAGATAGAAGTCTCTGCAATAAAAATGAACAATATGATTTCAGAATTTAATGTGAACCGTTGGTTACAGAATTTACGTAATTTTAAATAATTTACAATAGAAAAATAATTGTGATCAAAAGCAACTAATCAGTCCTCGAAGAAAAATGAGAAAGAAAAGAAAACGAACAGCCAAGAAATAAACAGATTCAATCAACAATTTTCATGTTACGAACGATACTTTTAAGTGTTATTAGATTTACTTTAACCGACTTTCATTATTCTTCCTTCCAATGTACATTTTTATTTCAGTATCAAAGGTCTCGGGTATAATTTTTAAACACGACATAGGTCAACACGCACGTAAGTAGGGGTGGGTGGGTTCGGCTGAACCCACTATTCTTGCGATGTAAAAGATTATGCTTATATAGATATAGCGCAGCTGCTTACGGTATTTAACGTTTTTTGACATTCTACATTCTTCTGATGAGGCATTAGCATTTATTGGCTTGAAATAGTCGCATACCCCCAGAAACCCGTAGTATTAGCGTGTTTTGCATGCTGATTGTGCTTCGAACAATATGTGTTGGCTTTTTATCTCACAAATTACAACTCTCCTTTCAAACATTCTACCTACGGGCTTGGTCAACTGCGAAAAGAATTCCAACTTGACACAGTTGTTACAAAAAGTAGATAACTTTACTCTGGTGAACTCACGGTTAATATTTGGGTAGACACATGATTTATTAACTACCTCTATTTTCTTTGGCAAACAAATCACATTTTAATCTCTGAATACGAAAGTACCAACAGAGCTAGAAACATACTAATTAAGTGTTAAATTAATATCCGAGATTCCCGCCTATTTCGATATGCCACACTATCCACCAAAATAGGTTTAAAATGTCAAACATACATGTCCAGATATACAGCGATAATAGCTCAAACATGACTTACCGTATTTTTCGGAATATAAGACGCACCCTTATTTTGAGGACAAAGTTTTGGGGGAAAAAATGCTACAGTCGCATTTGAAAGATTT